GTGGTTTAATAGACAATGACAGTGACTTTATAACATAAACTTTATAATATAAATAATAAAACTTTGTAGTATAAACTTTATAATGTATAAAGTCATTGTCATTGTCTATTAAACCACGCTTGGCCATGCAAAGTTTGCCGCGCAACCCGTCGTACTGTCCAGTATGTATCTGTAACACCCTGTAGATCTATAACACGTAGATTGGCGGAAATTACATTAATGAGTAAATAATCGATTATTGCATAATGTACAGAACGTGCAAATTTTCCGATACATATCTTCGCTAATCTAATTCTAGTTTATGCGCGTTTTATACGGCCACTATTTATTTTACGTGAAACTGTAAATGTTTATACTTGACGACACTTCAGAGATTTTATGGAAAGTTGTTGGTGACAGATGGTCGATCACGTAATTTTTCTTGAGGAATGAAAACATGGAAAAGTAAAATTTCACATAAATTTGGCGTACTTGTGATTAAATTTGCAGTAGACCACCTGCGATGTAATTTAACATGCTACGAAGAAAAAGGAATATCGAAAACTTTGTAATGTGTTGTGTGTTTTCGCAAATGTTTATTTAAATTAAATTTCAATTCTTTAATAAGTATGTAAGTTTGAAAATGTATGAAAAGTCTTGTTGCTCGGGGACACAAAGGCAGGAGATTTAAAGCAGATATAAATTATGTATAGAATGTCATCTCAAACTATGTATACTCTACATACATCATGGATGCCAGGAACGAGTATGCGAGTATTGTACAATATAATGGAATCTGTCTACTCCTTTTTCTCCGTTTGATTTTCTACACGATAGCCTGCGAAATAAAGTTCTCTCCCCGGTCCCGTTTCGACCGCATAGGACGGTGGATATCAATTTATCAGTTCGATCGTTTGCCATACTACGAGCGTAGTATGAAACATCGTTAGACGGCATTATACGACCGCCAACAAAGGTTTACGTATGACTGAACATTGAATTGTACCCCTGAGCGATATTTCCTGAGTTTATTTTCTCTCTCGCAGTCAGCCAGACACGTTCGTTGTATAAGTTGGCTCATAGATCAAAGGATGCACACGAGAAATTAGGTCACATTATCGTGGTCGTTGGATTAACTTTAATCTTAATATTACTAATCTATATTAATAGGAGTATAATGCTTACGCTGTGCGCTCATTAAACACTGATCTTTCACATAAACTTATAACTTCCTTCGTTGTTTATAATTGTATAGTTTTTGTACACTTTATCGCAAGAAACGAGAGAGGATTTAATCAGGAATTGCAGAACCGGGCGCGGTAGTGGTACGAGCCGAAGAGGTCCTGATTGTCGTTCTTGTCCTGGTCCTGTGGGTGGCTGCCATCGCTCTGTTTTTCAATCGATGGGGCAAGATCCGCATGCTCGAGCCGTACCAGCCGAAATTTCAGCAACAACACAGACAAAGCTGCACCATAATCGACCCAAGCCCACTCCAGGTAAGTGCGTTCGTGTCGCGCTCGCTCTTCTCCCCGCGTTTACTCTCTTGTTCCGCATGGATAGCATACTGAATGTTTATGCAGTTGTTGGAACGCACCAAATTGCATCGTCGGATTACCATAATGGACACGATCCGTGTAAATGTGTGTATGTAGCGCAAGCAGCTCTCGGTGTGTCAGACTGTATTCTATATGACGCTGCGAGCGATTATGTACTAGTATATATATATCCAGAGATGTTAACGATAACTTGCGACTAATCGATAATCGAATAAGAGTAAATTAATGGTTTTTATTTAGAAAATAATTTAATTATTTTATTTTATTTCTAATTTAAGGCATTGATTGCATTATTCGATAAAATTTAAAAGGTACTAATTAACGGAATTGAGTTTTTAGTTAAAAATGTTATGATTATTACGGTTGATTTAATATTTTACTTTAAATATTATGATTTCAATATAATTCTGTGCAATGTATCGGTCGTATTTAATTTAATTAAATAATTTGCGAAGTTTCTCTTCGTGGCGCGTAAATTAGATAAATGCGTTATGTGAATACAAATACCGCAGTTAGTGGGATGAAAATTAAATTTCCCGATATATTCATGTAGTGTTATAGAGATTCTGATTATTTTCCATTTAATTACCAAAATAACGACGAGCATTATGGAACTATAACACATGGCTAGAGGGCAAACTCGGTATGTTAAATCACCGTTAAAGGAGATTGGCAAACTCGTGAGACCAGAGTAATAACTACTGTAAACCTACCCAGGATATATACCTCGGTTAAACATCATGTATCTTAAATGTTTTAAAACGTTTATTGTTATATATATTATTATTAAAGAAAAGGTAAATGCCAAGTTTTGAATAACGTTTTCAATTTAGAATTACCGTAAAGCTTAATTAATTTTTTTTAACCGTAAAGCTTATTATTTATTTTTCAATAAAGTTTAAAATCTAATAAATACACGCGTATGCAATGTCTCGTATGTCATGGTATAAGCAAGTAATAACTTGGACATTATTAGCACGAACTTACGCGAGAAATAACGTATTTCCCGTACGATACGCAGGTCACGTAAGCGTAAACCGTGTTTCTACATCTGGATTCTACGTGTACGATTATAAATTCACTCGTATCTCTAATCGGACCCTTATGATAATTCAGTTTCAGTTTCAGATCGTGCCATTTTTTAAAATCGAGTCAGGAGTGTCGCAGAAGAATGTTCGCTGAACAAAATAAATTCGACGTTGCGCAAAAATAACATTAATTATAAAACGAATATTAATTCTAAAAATGAATTTAAAGAAATTGGAATTAATTTTAAAATCTTATCGTTTAATCCTTAATGGTGTCTTTTCGGGAAAGGAAAATTAATAAATTTTTGGATAAAGACGTCAATCGTCGGCCGTGAATCGAGACAATACATATCTATAGGTATCCAGTAAGTTAAACCGTCGATGTCTCTATTCATTCTATATTCCAATTGCGCGCTTTGGAAGTTCCTAAATCTTGTAGTAGCCATTAAACTGCCAAACGCATTTATGTCAGCTTATTTATCATTCATAGATGAATGCAAAATAAACGAGAGGATTTATTGCTGCGTATTTGTTATAAATTGACTCTCAAATGGTTTCCTGTCGGAACGGGCGCTTCTCATCGCAGTCAGATAACATATATTTCGTAACCGGCTTCATTCCAGATGACCATACATACTTTAAGATTTTATTATACAAAGTACGTGTAAACAGTGTACGAAGCAATTTATCAGAATGTTCTGAGATCGCTTTGCAGACTAAAGCTGATGGCAGAGAACGAGATGTTTGTCATAAGACGTAGATGTAGAGTAAGGCAGAGAAAAGCTTATAATCTAAAAACTAACAGTCTTTCACGACTTAAGTTATAAATTTTTCTCAGCTTTATCCTGCGTCTATGTTTAAGACAAACTTAAACGCGTACATCTCGTTCTCTACCATCAGTTTAATTAGTCTAATTGGCCTAATTAATTACACCTTAATGGATATCCACATTTGGCGGTCAGTACATAAATTCCAAATTAGACTGTTTTAATTACGTTTTGATTTCAAAGTAAAAATAAACAAAACGCGTTTTTTAATCAAATATATTTGCTTATTCCGTAATGAAAACATAAATAAAATCCAAATTGGAACAAGAGAATTTGCCATGCGAATGATCTTTCATTTATATTGGAATTACATAAGCTATTTTGTTTTGTAACTCCACAGAGAGAGATTTTAGATAACAAATATAAATGTACCGTATCGGCGTGACAAATTTTTTACGATATTACTGCATTGACGTGCGTGTTTTTTTATTCATGCGGTTTAGAAAACAAATTTTTCGAGCGAATAATGCATTGCGCCTGAAATCGACCTTTATAGGCGTGTAGGATGCGCCAAATATTTCGCGATGTCAATTCTACATATTGGTATTGGATTTGCCGATATAAAGGAATACAAATCACGACACGAATGGGATACGTGCTCCAAAATAGGTGCTCCACAACAAAATTCACAAACTCGATCATCTCGTCGCGCTGTATATCGATCGAGGTTTTTACAAACTCGCTATATAGCTATTCGTTCATTTTGTGTAAAATTTTGCTTCCCAATATTGACATTGTATTTTTTTATCGCGTCAATTAATCGCGCGAGCATCATAAAAGCGGCAAAATAATCCCAGGTTTGTTTTAATTTCATATAAAAAGTATATTCAATGTTATAACAGTAGATTTTTGTTTTTAGTGTTTCTATAATATATATGTATATCAATAGAACAATGTATGTGAACGAGACGTTACACAGACATATGTTTCTCGTCCGTGAGTTTCGAGCAATTACTTTTAGATAGGAATCACCGTTCGCCAATATGTATTTCTGCGTCCATGGTAATTCAATCACGGAAACGTTCGATTGCATTGGCGTTTACTATGTCAGAAACATGCAGCCGACCTCGATTCTATCGAATTGGTCAAATCGCGTATCTTAAAATTGCTCACTACAGTCTGCAGATGGTATCCGAGGGAAGTTGGCTCGAAACTATTTTTAATTTGGACACGCATGGCTGTATCAAAATATTGATGCTCTAACGACATAAAACATGACGTGTACCTAAACGAAAAATCTATATAGAGCTATACATATAGAACTATATAATTTAGGATACGGATAATAATGGGCTTAACAAGCTTATAATGATGATAAATTAACTTGTATCTCTGACCTGATACGAGAAAAATTGGGAACAGTTGTTCATCGGTGACGCACATCGACCGACTGACGAAGGTTCTGTATTTAATGAAACTAAATGAAAATTTTCCTCAAGATACTTCACGTAATTCTGTTTAAACCGACTCGCAAACCATCCTGGTCCGCAAACCACCATCATTCTGAATGTCCTTCGTAAGTGGGACTTCATTCCGATGTAGTTACAAGAGGTACTCAAATTATTGAATGTCGGATCGTCACGTCGATCTTGGAACGAGTTCAGTGAAGTCTAGTTTACTGTAGGATTCGGGTATACCTGATTGAAGTGAGTCCCGCGAGGATTTTCAATATTCGATTCACATTCTAAAAGGAAGATCGATCGTCTATTTGCAATATACAGGATACGAATGGATTTACTATTGTTCTCTAAATTGTTTGAGTGAGTACATGATGAGCTTTCAAGGGATTACAACGTGCGGTTAGTAACTCTAGAGCCTCTAGAGGGAAGTTTGTGTTGCGTACACAGTCTGGCATATTAACACCATTGCTGACTGCCTATCATGCATATTCCAACTCTGTGCAAACGAATATCTTTTCACTGATTAAGTAGATTCCTGAATATATCCATAAATCTACAGATTTTGGAGATCTACATATTCGGGTGTTTATCCATAAATCCATATATCCATAAATTCCAATTGGTAATTTATGTTTTCTAACTGGAGTCAAAATTACTTTCTATTTGTAAATCCATCGTAATAACATTTTGTGACGTCAAGGTCAATTTATACGATTATGCTAATGCTGGCGAATAACGGCATGATATTACATGCAATATTCAAGACAGCATCTGTATAATGAAGCGATATGCACATGTCTGCGCATGGAACCTGCAATTTGTCATTCTAAGTATGCGAGTGCGCACTGTGCGCAGTTACATCGTTCCATTAAAGCCTTAAAGCAATGTTGTACATATTACACGCGTTTTCGTTTGGGAGATATTATCCTGTCATGTTTCTGATATGTGTATACGCGTTCCCAGATCCGTAATCCTCTGAAGCCGCGTTAACTAATATCGCTGTCTCGTTCAATTTTCATGATTGATGAGGAAGCTAAGCTGTTGAAGGGAGCTTGCAGCGACTTTCAATCGTATGAATAAATTAATTTCACCGGAATATATTTTCCCATCAAGTAACTGATGCGCGGTAATACGATATTTGCTAAAGAGGATAATGAAGTACATTGTTTACATAATATATAATCAGACACGCATAAAATGACAATTACTTCGTATTTTGTTTGGTCGTGCTGCAATAAATGCTATACAATAATTTTCATAATTTCCTAATTATCATCAGTGGTATTCTGTTTGTTTATGCGTCATTTCTATAAATAGCAAAATGATCGAAAATCATGCGCAAATGATGATGAACGGCTTATCGTGGTTAAATAAATTGTCGAAGATATTTAGTGAATTTCAATGTGTGATCGAGCCACTTCATTGTGATTGGACATCTCATACACGCTCAAACATTGAACATTCTCCGATAATTAGGATCGTGGGAATTCATCCCAAGTACCACCAATCGTATAATTCAGGATTTGAGTAATTAGTAATTAGTTTCGCAAATTCTCTCTCGTTTCGTTATAAACGCGAACGGTTCTATCATAAAAGAAAAAGTGTAGCCTTTTCGTCGTTTAAAAAATTAGGTATAAGATGAAAAATCTCGTCTTGCTACTTCCCTCGTTTACCTGCGCTGTGATGTTTTATTGGTACCTTTGATTCTGTTTATCTAATAACGTTTCGCGTTGAATCACTCGTGATAGAGGAACCGTAAATTGAGCGAAGCATCGGTGAAATACCCGTCTCCATCCTCTTTTGCATAATACATGTAAATGCAGCATCATCCCTTTCAGCGGACTCGCGACACCCGTAATCTCGGAAGATGCAGCACTGCGTCTTATAAAATCCATCGCGACAGCAAGTAGCAATCTATGCTGAGCGTCTAGCTAGAATAACGTATTCTCACAGCTTGCAATGAAAATTGTGAGCAGCGCGGGTGTATTGCACATGAAAGTTCTCCATTGCTTTTCAGCTACATAGTTTAGCGAGCTACCGGTGGCATGGTATCATAAACCCAGACTCTTAAAATGTCCTATTTACGTCTCACGAGGAAATTTTGTAACGCAATCTTTCCCCCTGGTTATAATAGAATTCAACAGAATGGCGTTGTAACCCGATTTTGGCCTTGTACGAAGAAACTTCGAACGCGTTGGGAAACTTCATTTACGAAGGAACAATATTACTTCCGCTAGCCGCGAGGCTTTTATAAAACAAATTCTTCTCGTTATCACAACAATACTGTCACGACCATTAAACCGCCATCGCGTCTACTAGAATCAACGTGTCCGACATACACATATGTCTCCGTATATCAAGTCCGTATATCACGTCCAACACAACCCCACATCTCCACCGACAGTTAGCCAGTCACGTATCTTGTTACATATCCCTGGTCCAAATGTTTCTGTGGGAGCACGACCATAATTAACCCATTATTTATTTTGGCTGCGATTATATACAGGGTGTCCCGTAAGTTTTTACCAAGCGTTTTTGTGTAAACAGGGCGGACTAAACTGAGTTGAAAAGTCCTACCATTTTGCAATTTTCGCAATAGTTAACAAGATATTAATTACTAAAAATTACCGAATATTGATCTTTAATAATTTTTTACTCAAATACTATCAACATTACAGAAAAACTATAAAAGACAAAAATGATTTATTTTCTTTTTATAGAACTTTAAGAATTTTTTCAGAATTTTTTATCAACTTTTTAGTATTGCATTTTCTTATTTTTATCAACATGAGAAAATACAACATTAAAATATTTTGAAAAAATTCTAAAATAAAATTCTCAGAGCTTTATGAGAAGAAAATAAACAATTTTAGTCTTTCGCTGTTTTTCTGTAAACTTGATAGTATTTGAGTAAAAAATCATTGAAAACCAATATTCAATGATTTTTAGTAATCAATCTCTTTAACCATTGCAAAAATTTAAAAATGGACTTTTTGACTCAGTTTAGTCCGCTTTATCTACACAAAAGCGCTTGACAAAAACTTACGGAACATCCTATTAGTATACGTAAAAGGAACGATTATGCTAAAGTATCTGAAAATTTAACTGGATACGAATCTGAAAATAATTATGTTGAATTAAAAATAATTATGTAACACACTCAAGCAAAATCGACAATTCAGCAAAAAGCTTTGACATTCTTATAATTATTTTAATAATCTAATCAAATTATTTCAGATCTGTATTCAATTAAATTTTTAGATACTTTAGCATAACCGTTCTATTCGTGTATGTGCAGATGTATATTATGTGGGACCATAAGTTCGTTCAGTTTTTTAAATAAAATGTTAAACGTAAAATGTTAGTTAAAAATATTTTTAATCAATTAAATGTACACTATTTTGTTCGTTTCATCCTCTACATGAAAAAGGGATGATTTTGCTGCAGTATCTACAAAAGCTAAATACAAATCTGAAAATAATAGTGTAGGACGCTTAAACTGGTTGATAGAATGTCAAAACTTTTTGCAAAATTACTCATCATGCTTGACATTCTTCTGTAATTATTTTGATGGTTCAACAAAATCATTTTCAGATTTGTATCTAAACTTTTAGCTCTCAAACTTTAGCAAAATTATTTTTTAATATAGAAACAGAAAATTAGATTTCTCGATTGGTAGGAAATCTAATTCTGTGCCTCATATTGCCTCATTATGTATTCGACGGGATAATGGAAGAGATCTCTACGCAATATTCGATCTACAGCTAAACAGCCGTTCGACACCATCCATCATTTAGGGCATTTTAGGATAAAAGCACATCATGGATGTAAATCTCTCATCAGTATCAGCTGTAATATCCAGCAAAGACGTTCTTTCAACAAATTTCATTATTCTTCCTTCATAGGATCGATATTAATGATGAGCATTTTTGAGATCAATTTCTCTTGAAATGAAATTTGGCAAATCACTTCTGGCACATGTATTCAATTCTTTTCCATACACGGCATATATCTTTTTTTTTTTTTAAGTTCGTCGCATTTTTATATTTTTACGGAAATAAAAAAGCATCATGCACCGAATACATGTTATTTTCTTCCATTTTCAAATTGTTGCCAATATTGCCAACTGTTGCTAACTGTTGTGCATTGAAATCACCTTTCAGAATATGTATGATATTTTATATGTCTGAGAACAATTAGCGATTATCAATAAGAATTTTACTGGACTGTATATTTGAAAATTCAACAATAAGAAATAGAAGTAATGGCCGTAACGGTCAAAGCTAGATCTTTAATGCTTAAATAATTCAATCTGAATTACTATATATGTATACTATATATGTACTTGCATGTATACCATATTTATAGTCATTCGAATTGCGTGTTGAATTAGTTTCCCGAACTTATAAACGTAATTAAACTATTGTAGTAATATCGCAAATTAAATTGACAAGCAATTTTAATAATTTGATACTTAATCAGGCACATTATGCTGCATTATTCATTGTTTCAATCATTCGAGTTGTCATCAATGGTCATGCTCAACGACTTTTACGTCTCGACATATATTACAGCTGCGTATACATATTTTTAGCCGTATCGCATAAAATCGATACAAAGATGTCAACTTTGCGTCGCGTTGCACATTTATCGTGAACTGTTGTTTTAAAAATAACTTACTGCGGATATAACGTCGTGACGGTACTGTTGTAAACTATGTTTCAAGATCTCACGCGGCGACAAATAGACGTGAAAATATAGTGTCAGAACTAGTTGGGATTTTCCTCTTGTTCGCAGCATCGGAGTTCGAAGTTTAACATCTACTGCATGGAGCATCCAGTGCACCAGGTGAGCTGTGTCTCGGCCGCCGGGCCGGCTACCAGGTTGCGCCAAAACAGCGTGTTCGTAGGTTCGAGCATGTCGCTGCTGCCGGCCAGCCAGGAGCCTAGGCGAGCCAAGAGTGCGTTCGATCTGCAGTCGCTGGTGCACGCGGAGGGCACGGGGAACGACGAGGAGGAAAGCGACGGTGACACGCTGAGGACCCTTAGGTCTATCGGCGAGACATCGCGACTGTTGCAGCGCGAGCGTCGATCCAGCGCTTACCAGTTCGACCGCATGGACGTCCTGGCAAGACCGACGTTGCAGCACGAGCGCGGTATGAGTGTCTGTCACTTCGACAGGACAGACGTCCTGGCCAGACCGCTGCAGAGAGATCGCGGTATGAGCATCTGTCACTTCGACCGGATGGACGTCCTGGCCAGGCCGACATCGCAGCGCGATCGCGGCATGAGTATCTGCCACTTCGACCGGACGGATGTTCTGGTGAAGCCGCTGCAGCGTGATCGTGTCAACAGCATATGTCACTTTGACAGAATGGACGTGCTGGCGAGGCCCACGTTTCCGCCCGGCAAATCTTTGTTGCGGGAGAGACGCGTCAGCGTGTGCAACTTCCTGGAGAGGGACGAGGAATCGAGCAGTAGGAATATTTTGCAAAAGGACAGACGGTTGAGCTTCAGTAACGTCGACAGAATCGAGACTCTTGGAAAATCATCGTCACGTAGAGACCTGCGCAGCAGTATCAGCAACGTGATGGACGGCAAACAGGACAGCCTGGCGAAATCAAGTACGATCAGAGAGAGGAACAACTCCGTGCACTTTGATCGTCCATCCTGTAGCAAAACGTCCGACGTCGTGCTCGGATACAAAGCGACGTGCGTTTAATCGCGGCTTCTTCCGAGGCCTGGAGAACGCGCGAAGAAGACGTTGATTCCGTGACAATGGTCCAGTCACGGAATCTACCTTGGACGAAATACGGCTGTGAAATCCTTTCGTAATCGCTTTCGACGCCACTTTTATCGCTTATATTTCGTGTATTCTTTTATGGATTCTTCTGAGAGATACCACAGCCCTGAGCACCGATGGCCCTTATTGAACCGTCAAAATGCGATAAATAATCTCTATTTAAATGCCGGCTTCGAAATATTGGCTTTCCCTCATTTTCTCCTTTGCGCGATAAGTGCAATTGACTTCGCTCGCTCGTTTTGTAGATGAAAGACGATCTAGCCTCGGTCAGAGAAATATCTCGCATCCATTTTCTGTACTTGCGAAATGACTTCACAAGTGCACGTCGGGTCTTTAGGAAATGCTCTCCGGAAATTAAAGGCGCGTCGCGTGGACACGCAACAGGAGGGTGGAGGTTGAAGAGCGTTTTTCATCACGTCCCTTTTCTCCCTTTCTTCTCCCATTTGTTTTTTTCCCCGCCTTTTTACCGCGGGCTAAATGTAATAATGAGACTACCGAGCGTCGATTGCATGAATGATACATGACGGGCATTTCAACGAATTCGCTCGGGGAACACCGTTGAATTTCCATTCGTTGCTCGACGATTCGTTAATGGTATATTCGAGAGTTTCGCTAGCCGAACAATGAAACTGCAGAACGCGAGCATGGCTGCACGAGTTACCTCAGGAGACCGCGATCGCGCGTTGGTAGATCGTTTCATTGTGATGATTTATTCGAACATGGTTCAGAATTTTTAATTAACATTCTTAATGGTGTGGTCTTAATGGACGAGCGAGCGAAGTATAATCAGTCGGAAAAAAAAATCGATCGATCAACCTTATTCATTCCTATCCAATTTTGCACTCCATCTTTCTCTCTCTATCTCTGTCTTTCTATCTCTTACTCTCGTAGCCATAATTATAGACGTGGAGACTTTTCCTCTCTTTCCTCTTTTTTCTCGAAATCTAATCTGCCGTAGGGAGCTGACCGTAGAAATTACTCCGTTCTTCGAAGAGACGAAGTCTGTAGCATCTATTCTACTTGTAGACATACGGGCTCTCGCAAATTGTCTGCACACACAAGGCAGTAAATCGGTTAGACGCAACGGCGTGTTCACCGGGCGCGCATGATCTTTTGATCTGTAAAACTTGTCAATGCCATTATAGCACACGCTCTCAGGGATTATTATTTAAAATCTTCACTCGCGCGTAAAAAATAGGATGCGTTCACTGAAAAAATGTCTAATTGAAAATGGACGAATCAGAATTTTCTGGTCTAGTTGAGATAACCAGAATTTTGGTTGATACAATATTTCTGGGAAAATCTATTAGAATTCTTACTTTAATTAGAATAATTATTGTATATCAATCAGAATTCTGGTTATCTCAACTAGAATCCTAATAGATTTAACCAGTAAATTCTGAGTCGTCCATTTTCCATCAGAATTACTATTTAATTCAATCAGACCATTTTTCTCAGTGTTCGCTTTAGGTGCTTTTATAAGTTTCATTTTATCATTTTAACGCATGTAATGAGTGATAAAGATAAAATGAAGTTTATCTTACGTGAGCATCTAAAGCAAACGCATTCATAGTCTGTCGCTAATATAGAGAATCATCGAATACGCATTTATTTCTTGCGATTCAATTAAACAACGTTATAGAGCCTATTAATTTACCTAATGTCGAACGGATTGATGTTGAATGTATCGGTCGGCTTGTTACTCGAGCTTTGCGGCCGTCAATGTATGAAATGCGATACGTAGTCCGCGCATTACGACCGTACGTTTACATTTAACGATCGCAACGGTCATTAAAATTTCATTATTACGTAATGGGTTTGATTCTGAATCTCGTTTGGTATGTCATAATTTTTCGCGGTTAATGCTGTCGTAAAGTACAAAGCATACTATTCTAAAGCCACAGATAAAAACTGTAATAATATTTGCCGTCATATCCACGAATATTCGAATATCGATGTAATGAAATAATTACCTATTTTGAATAACTAATAGATTTACATGATACATACATACATACATGTGCGGGAACTAATGTCAGATATTTTCGGAGAGCCTACATATTTTTATCTGTTGGAATAAGGCAAGCAGTTATCAATGAGATTACTCTTAGTACCTAGTTTCTTCAACGTTGGAAGATGTATGATACGCGATTACTTCGGTGCTAGAGAGCTCTTAGCAAGATTCATAGTTGTACACGTGTTTGTAGTGCACGGAATTAAAGAGATGAGCTCATTGAGCCGTCGGTACATTATCTCTCCTTTCAATTGAAAAGTTCACTCTAAAAGATAATTAAAAATGAATTAAAAAGGGAGAGATGTTACTAGAAAACTCATGCGAGCATCTCTAAATTTGTTAAAGGCCCTTGTCTGCTATTTGACGCTTTAATTAAAAATGCAACGAAGTCACCATGTAAAAAGAGAAAAATCAACATATTTAATCCCGCACAGCGGAAAGCGGCCTTCAATAAAACGAGATATTACTGTAACATTTTTTCGCGAATATTTATATAAAAGTGGGAAGTGCAAATCTCCTGACGAGATTATCATTTTATTTTTCTTCTGACGTAATTGTATCACTATATAATTAAAGGGCTCAGCTCAATAATATATTAATCTACATGGAAAACATACCTCATCTACAGTAGTCAATACATTATTGTTCCAAATCATTATTGCTCTATAAACAGTTGATTATTGCTATTAAATAATACGATTGTCTTTCATGTAAAATAAAATACTATTTTTCTCGCGATCAAAAAATCTGTTACCTCTATTATCAAACTTTATGGAAGTATTAATCACAGTTATAGCTCCCTCGTGTCAGATCGAAACTCATTAACAAAGGGACCTTCTCTAATTAGCCAATAATGAAAATATCGTAGAGTAATTATATGTACATACATATTCGCGTAGACACGTCAGACCAAATGTAAGTTTTAAATTTTAAGATTATTATAGTAAAGACTATTCATATGATAGATTATAACGCATTAATTTCCTGACTTCACATTCAGACGCGTCTCAAACGTTCGTACCTTCAACGATTCAGATTATTTCAATCAAAAAGATTCAAGAGTTCTACATGTATTTATTGTGAATGTCCAATAAACATTAAAACACATACGTATCTCTGTTTTACAAGAAAGAAGCATTGTAAAAATAATGTGTTGCATTTATTTTGTTAAATATTTGTTTGACAGATGATTCTATATATTTATTTTTAATACAGAAATTGCCAAATAATTTTAAGTATTGCTGACGGTTATATTTATTCCAGAAATTCTTTGCAATTTTTCTATAAATTCCTACGAAAACATTTCTAAAACATATTTTTTCTTACGTGTGTGTATACATATATATCCTCACGAAAAGTTCGAAGAATTGAAAAGAAATAAAATATATTAAAAAGCAACGTATGAATAAGAGTGATATAATGTTAGACTTAGTGAGATATATGATGAAAAGTATGATAAATGATTAAGATCATTATAAATGATTTGCGAAATGGACAAATAATTCGACAAAAAAGAGTTTATTGAACGAGTTAATGTTAATATTTATACTTTATTATAATACGTATTTTTATATTATTTAATTATGTATACTTTAAAGAGCTTGTCATATATATAATTATGAATGTATAAAACTCCAATTAATACGTTAATCGACTTTGATTTCATAGAATTTATCATTTACAATTTACCATTTACCCATGTGTGTTGGTTCGAGTAATTTTTCTAGTCGTATGATTTGCAAATTATATATATGTAGGAGATAATTTTGTGAATATGTTAGCGAATGACTTTTTGTGAATAAGTATGTTAGCGAATAACTTTTGTACAATAAATATTATTTGAAACAATATTGTAATATACTTGTTTTTAACTTAGTAAAGGGTATTTATTTTTAAATGTAATAAAATCTCACAAAAGTTTCTCGTGTGACGAGATTTAAACGTGAGTTGCACCAGTAAATTAATTCCACATATTATCCTACCTCCATTGTTATTTTTAAGGGAAGCGAAGTGACACATCAGAAAAATGTGTCTGTGCTTTCGCGATGTCGAGAGAAGATTGCCCAGAGGCTATCTCTCGTTGTACGTACAATAAAGTGCAACAGTAAAAGCGAGCGAAATGCACAGGGTTTCGCAAAATCAGTGGCTCTCTCGCTAACCGGAAATTTTCGTAAAAGCTTCTATTTCAGAATATCCTGTACCGTATTGCACCCTTTATTGTACGACGATTATCGTACGTGATGAGACTCGTTATCTTTAAACCTCTCCACTTTTTAAAGAGGCACGGATCAAGAGAATCTCCCACTGCGCTAATATCCTTTCCATCCTTTCTTGAAATCTAAGATTCTAAAATTTAGGAATATTCTTGCTTCTGCTACATTTAACAGTTCTACTCTCATCTAATAGATTTTATGGTTTTCTATAATTCCTTTAGAATCTTGAAGAATAATACATTATTCTACATAATTTTATCAAGGTAAATTTATTTCAAACTATTCTTTCCTTGTTATTTGTCTTGTTCCAATTCACATAATGCAACTCGACTGTTAACTGCTCCTCCATATAACACTTATCATGAAATTTTGACATTAATCGGACGTTGACTCATGGATTACCTTTATAATCACGTTAAACTGTTCGAGCGCGAAGGAAACAAGCAACTCAAACTGTTTAATACAACCTATCAATATTATCGACTAAACGTCAATACCTCTAAACTACATGTGATATGGTCATTCTTTCATACTTTCAATCCGTCATATTATTTCTAGTTTCTGTTAAGAAACGTTCTTGCGTCATTATATATCGTGTGCGTGACTAAAGATTCAGCGCATTTTCTCTACCTGCGAAACCTTTGTTACTTTCATGCGATTCAGCAATTATGCTTTTTACGTCAACATGGATATAAGAAAAAGTATGATACAAAATAAATATAATAGCAGGGCATATAAGAGTCAATACCAAAAAATATATTTCGTTTTTTAATATATAATTTAATTTGGTGACTCTTATATACCCTATTATTATATTTATTTTATATTATTATTAAGAGTCTCCTTCATTATTATTGTTAAAAAATATGATCGTTCGCAAATATTATTATAAAATTATGAATTACATCGAATATACGTTTATACAACATTTAATTATATTTTGGTAATTCTTGTTCTGTTTATTTTTTGTCGTCATAATTACATTTCATCATAAAGTTAATATTTTTTTCTGTTTTTATTTTTTACTATAAAATTTTACCTAAAGTTTTCTCATTAAAACGATAAGCATACAGCTTCATGAGTACGTATCTAGAATTTCTGAAGATTTCATTTATTTATCTTATTGTTAATAAATTTTATAAATATTTTACATTTCACATTTGGCAAGAGACACAGGCTGTAGTGATAACACTCTACATTGTTACTAATAGCTAACATTTTTGTAGAAATTCCTCTCTATTGAGCGAGCGCTTAAGAATTCGTAATGTAACTTTTACGAAATACCTGATGAAAATCTTTGCATAGAAAGCGCAGTAGCTTATATTCTTTATCCTGTTTTATATTCTAAAATTAATTAAATTTTTATGCGAATTACTTTTATTTTTCTCAGAAACATCATTAATAAAAAATGCAAAGAAGGCAACATTTTGTCTCTTTATTACTTTGCAGAATTACTTTATAGAAAAATAATGTTTCGTGCATTATTAAGTTTTTGACACTGTGGAGCTATTTTAGATTTTTAGGAGATGGGTCTCAACCGTGAAACTTTTACGTGCTTCGTATCGCACGTGATTTAAGGAATTGCATCGAGAGATTGCAAGTTCGTATGGGCTTAATATCCTGAGCCCATTGGCACGTTCTATCTAAGACTGCTGATTTTTCTCGCCGTACTTGGACGAACCAGAAACTAGGGCAACTATTTCGCCGTCGCGGTTTGTCTCTCTAGCTAGAGAGAGGAAGAAAATAAAACGAAGTACCCAGGCGAAAGCAGGTGAACTCGGAAGATTCTGAGATGAGGGGCTCATGGAGAAATGTAGTAACAGTCCGTTGTCAGCTATCAAAAGTTTCATAGAGACATTTGCGACAAGACACAAAACAGCAAACTGTAGAGAAGATGTCCCAGAAGATTCCACTTTCTGAAAGGTAAGTCATCGTTTTTGCGATATTTTTTATTT